CCCCCCCCCCCCCCCCCCGCTGTTTGCAGAAGAAAAGGTGTCCACATTGGGACATGCAGAGCAACAGCGAACGTCTCGGGAGCTCAGACCTTGGCGCGGTACAGCTCCAGCTCGTTGTCTGTGATCCTCCATGGCTCGCTGTTTTTCAGCCTCTCAGCTGCCTCCAGCTCCATGTTGTCTTCCTTCAGCCGATATGGCTCGACCATCTCCTCAAAGGCTGCCACACTAGAAACAACAAGGCCTCAACATTAACAACCTGAGACAGCACACTTCAGCTGTGCTGCTTCAAAATACAGATCTGGTTTCTTTAGTTTGTCTCTAAATAAATGAACCTAAACCGACCACATGGGGGCAGCAGAGATTAATGTTTTCATCTACAAAAACCCACCACTATGATAATACTGCATCTAATGAATGACTAACCTTAAACATTTACTGGATTATTACATTTATGACTCTCTACGAGCCCAACTTCTTTATTTCTGTAAGCTGAGAGGCTGCAGAGACCGGTCCAAGTAAATCTCTGAAAACTCCTGTGACGTTCGCTTGTTTCATGGACAACATGAACCAAAGAGCCGAGAGGCAACAGCTGGTTTGAGCTCCTGGAACAATGACACTTTCTGATCAGCAGTTTTCTTTCTGTAACAACTTCCTTTTAAAACAGTAAAATTAGAGCAAATAAAACAACACTTCCTGTGAAAGGTTAACGTTCACAGGAAGTGTTGATGAAACCGGCAATACTTTTAACCTGGCCTTTGTCAGCCACCAGTCTGTGAGGATTAATCACCACGTTAGAGCTATTAAAGTTGGGTTCTGTGGAAAAGTCATGAATATCTTACCTGTTGGAGGAAACGGATTGAACAGACGAGTTAACGGTTTGTTCATGTGAGCTAAGATCAAAATGGATTCCCACAGTCTGAAAACAGCTTCAGTCTCAAAACTTTCATAGCTGTTCAGGCAAACATTACTTTATAAAGCTTTAAAAACTTGCAATGGATCGTTATTTACACAGATTTCTGTGGTTATTTGTAAGCACAAAAATCAGAGGCAACAGCTAGCTGTAAAACTTCCTATAGGGATGTACCGTATTTTTTGCCCTATAAGTCGCATCTGTCCAAATATGTCTAATAAAGTGGAAAAATACATAAATACGTCGCTTCGCCATACAAGTCGCATCTATTATGCATCACCGCCGACGCATTTCGCTGGAGCGGCGCAGCGAAATGAAGCTGATTTGATGGTTTCTCCAGGTCAGTTGGATGAAGGTGGCAAGCCGATTGCGTCATTAATAGTCACTTTTACCTATTACATGACACAACGGCATGCCACACTACTCGAGTGCCATCTAGCGGCTGAAAATAGTACTGTTCAATATTTTCAGTCAGAATGAATGAAAACTGTCATCTCAGCCAAAAATTGTTTTTTAAATATGGAAAATATTATGTCGCAGGGCATGAAAATTATGCAAAAAATGCGACTTCTAGGGCAAAAAATACGGTAATAGCAATTTAATCGGAATCACTAGAATAAGTTTTGACGGTGGTGTAGAGGTTTAGAAAATATCTGCATGAACTAATACGTTAGTGTCGTCTGCTTAAATTAGCCGTGACTTGCATCAACACGGTCAAAGTGGATTCGTTTTCAAAGTAAGATTTGTTTAGTTTAAAACACGATCCATCTGCAAACGTTTATGGTGGTTCACGGCAGCAGTCCACACTGCTTAGACTACAATTGGCTCCTCAGTCAAACGCTATTCTCTTAACTGAGGTTGTTTAAAAAGCTATCTACAACAGGTAAGAACCTACAGCTGAGCTTATATTTGACTGAGTTTCTATCCTGTCTTTAAGATAACATGTGCATGATACTTCTCATGTACAGCAGACATCAGGCGTGTGTTCTGCAGAGTTCAGGTGGGAACGGTGACCCTGGGATGAAATGGGAAACCCTCTTTTTGTGGAACAAACAGAACTTACTGCTCCTTTTTAGGCTTGGTGTTGATGTCTCCCAGCACAGTGATGTCTGAGAAGTCTATCCTGAACTTGCTAAGCAGAGTTGCCATCCTGCACAAAAAGACAAAAAGAACAGTATGAGCTGCAGGGAAAAATACAAGCAAGGAGGAACGTTGAGATAAGATCACTGAGTCATCCTGAAAGACCGAGGAAACCGTTGTAAATAACTCAGTGAGAGCAGGTAGCCGGGCGTTCTGGAAGTCTTGTTGAATGTTGTGTAAAGGAGTTGAGTGTTGGGCATGACCACAGATTCTTATAGCTGTATGTGTTTTTCTGCCATGGACACATCCCTGGTACCTATACCACCTCAAGCTTTCCTACGGTACTTTGAAAGTAGCTCTGCTGACAACCAACTCCTGATCAAGCTGCTTTCTGTTTGTAGTCAGTCCGCCTGGACTCAAAACACGAGCAGCGCCGAGGCAAACAGCAGACTTAGTTAGCGAACAGGTCTACAAAGAGGAGCATTGAGCACCACCGCATGTTTTTCTCAAGATGTCGGTCAAAGGTGAGAGAGTTTGACTGAAAACTCTACATTTGTATGTACAAACACAGCGACCAACACCATAACATTCAGAGGCATTCAAAGGTCATTAACTCAAGATGACCCACGTGTTAGTTTGAACATTCCAACCACGTAAATGTTCATCGTATTCCATTTCCATCATGTTGGATTTTCTCATCAACACAGAGTGGGTTTCAAAGTGCACGTGAAGCTGCACAGATCAAAGATCCTGCCACCACTGTGGCATGAAGCTAATTTTATCCAACAAAAGGAAGTGAGGCAGCTGGAAGAACAATGAGAGGCCGTGTGAGCATGCATCAGATAGCAGCGGTGAGGGGCATCGTTACAGATTTATACAACATATAAATAATACAGAACTTTAAAGGACTGGATATTTGTGTGAATGTTTATGAAGCAGTCGCTCTGTTATCATCCATTTTTCTTCCTTACGTTTTTTTAGTGCGATTCTCGTCCTGCAGTTTTCAAGCCATTTCAACAAATCGTAAATCAAAACCTTCAGCTCTTTCAGAACAATACTGCTATGACTCTTGGTATTGGTGCAACTTTAGCTTTTTGAAATATTTAGCCTTTTCTGCCACTTTGTCCTCATAGAAAATGAATTGAGCTCATTTTACATCCTCCTTAGTTTTCATTCAATTAAACAAGTTTTTGAATGAGAACAGAATCTTCGAGATTTTTCAATCTGGTTTTAAGCAACTCCACAGCACTGAAACAGCATTAGTAAGGGTTTGTAACGATATTATGATATCAAACGATTCTGGTCAATTTGTGGTACTTGTGCTCCTGGACCTTACTGCTGCTTTTGATACTGTTGACCACAGTATCCTTATATCACGGCTGGAACAGTGGGTTGGGTTCACAGGTGCTGCATTAGAATGGTTCCAATCATACCCGAGTGGCAGGAGCTTCTGTGTCAAGGTTGGTAATAATGTATCCGCCTCATTAGCTCTTTCTTGTGAGGTCCCACAGGGTTCTATTCTTGGACCCCTTCTGTTCTCACTTTATTTGCTCCCACTGGGGTCCATCCTGAGGAAACAAGGTCTTTCATTCCATTGCTATGCTGATGACTGTCAGATCTACCTGCCTGTGAAACCAGCAAGTGTTTGCTCCATTCACCCTCTGTTAAAATGTCTGGATGACATTAAGGCCTGGATGGCTTCAAATTTCTTAAGTTTTAACAATGAGAAGACTGAAGTCATTGTTTTTAGCCCTAGCTCAACTGCCACCACTGATCCTGTCAACCTGGACTCTCTTCAGCCATATCTGAAGCAGTCTGGTAAAAATCTCAGGATGGTTTTAGGGAGCATTCACACCAGCCCCGTTTAGTCCGCTTTAATCGAACTCTAGCTCGTTTTCCTAGAAAGTCCGGTTCGTTTAGGGAGGGGTGAACGCGCCATCGAACTCTGTCATGGAACAAAAAGGCGAACTCTGGCCCGGGCTAAAACCTAGGTCTCGGTCCGGTAGAAGCGAACTCCAGCACGGTTCGAGTACAGTGTGAATGTAATCAGACCGAGCCCCGCTCCGCAGGACAAACAAACACGCATTTCTCTGACCTTATATGGAGCCGTCGGCTGCCTTGTGTGGAAAACAATATTCTCCATGGTCTTCTGTCTCATCTTCTGCTCATGCTAAGTCCATTTTTGAAAAATGACAAAATATAACTCCTAAAACTGCTAAAACTTGATGCCACTTCGTTTTTATTTACAGAAGAAGAAGAAGACATGTCTTCAGAGGTTTTTGTGTCATTTCTTTCAATAGTTCTTGGTGCAGCGCCCCCACAGGCGAGCGGGGGAATAGGTTGGTTCAACAGGTTGACTCGACTGCACAGTGCAGTGTGAATGCAAACACACCAGCTCAAATCTAACAAAAGGTCATGAATATTGGTCCCGAACCGAACCGAGTCAACCGGACTATCTGGTGTGAAAACGACCTTAGACTGTGACTTCAAGTTTGACAAACAAATCAACTCTGTTCTGCAGAAAAGCTTCTTCCAACTCAGACAGGTAGCTAAGCTCAAGCCAGTGTTGTCCAGACCCGACCTTGAGAAACTAGTCCACGCCTTTGTCACAATCCGATTGGACTATTGCAACACACTCTATGCTGGGATCAGCCAGGCCTCCATCTCACGTCTTCAGCTCATCCAGAATGCTGCTGCTCGGCTTTTAACCAGAACTCGTAGGTCTGAACATATTACTCCAGTTCTGTCCTCCCTTCACTGGCTCCCTGTTCGTACGAGGATAGTCTTTAAAATTCTTCTGTTGACCTTCAAGTGCCTAAATGGCCTCGCACCCCTTTACCTCTCTGAGCTTCTGGAACCTTACGTTCCCTCTCGGGCCCTGAGATCATCTGATCAGCTGCTTTTGGCTGTTCCAAAAACAAGACTGAAGCTCAGAGATCGGGCTTTTTCAGTCATGGGCCCCAAACTCTGGAACAACCTGCCCCCCAACATCAGGCAGGCCTCGTCATCATCAGTCACAGGGATGAGATTTGGCACAAAACAGAGACATGAGCTTTGTCTTCTTGTCCTCGGAGGACAAGATGTCTTCAAGCAGATGTTGACGAACTAAATGAATCGCTGACAGAAGTTTGCTGCGTCTCTAAAATGGAAATAATTTTTGATGTGTTCAAACTTTTGCTCAAACTAAAAGGAAATGAGCTTTTGTGGTCAAACAGTAATGACACTAATGCAGCGATAATCCAGAGGGAAGACGAGGAGGCCACCGAGGAGACAGGATGTCCTTCAAAACACTGCGGTCTCCTTTAATAGCTCTTGAAGTTTGCTTAAAAATACAAACCACAATTCTAATGACTAAAGTTTAGTTTCTACAAAAGCTTTTGACATTTGGGTTTCCAGACAAACTGGAAAAATAAACATTTACATGTAAACAGATAAAAGATAAACGGAGTAAGTACAAACTGCAGTTTCTCCATCTCATTTATTAGAAGGAAAAGCTGTCCAAATCAACCTGGACCTACGAGAACAAAACGCACACGGCACATTTTACGCTCATCAACAAACTATTATACATCAATGTCCCAGACAAGCACCTGGAATAACCTTTGACCTTGATTTGTGACCTTGACCTTGGAGCTGGGGTGATGAAGTGTATGCAACCCTCCGCCTAGGTGGTACAAATGTGTATCAAGGTTTGAACCAAAGCCTGTGTTAAAAAACGCAAGGAAGAAGTCTGTGCATGACTCAATGTAAACTTTTGCCTGACAGAAAATTCCTGCAAAAAAAAACCAAAAAAAAAACCCCAAAAAACCATGAGATGAAATAGTCCAGCCCCAACAAATTTTAAGACCTTTGAGTAACACGTTCAAGACCAGCTTACAATATTTTTTAATGAATTTAAGGCCTTTATTTCATTTCATTTTAGATCTTGATAAGGATGTGTCCCTGTCTTTAAGCTCAAAACTCTCAGGGTAGTTTGGGAGTCAGAAGATTCAGGAGATCTCCTCATTTTGTTCGTCAGTCAGTTTCCCAGTAAAATTCCTCACTTACAAGATGGTACAGCTTTAATTCCTGGGTGCAAACAGAGCATGGGGTGGGTCTACATTATCTGCAGCTGGAGTTGGTGTGTGCACAGGAAGCTGCTGTAGACAGGAAAACACACATGCGCATGCGTGTTTGTGTGTGTGTTCAGTGCTTGCAGAGTAAATGGCTTTAAACCAAGCCCTGCTACCGTCTGAGCCACCTGCAGCTACAGGATCCACTATGGGGCAGAACAGCAGCACGGCTGCAGGGTTGTCCTGCAGGAGATGTTGCTGCCAAATCATGTTGTACAATGAGCACAGCAGAGGATGATGGGAAATTAAGCACACTGAACCTGAACGTGTAGCATTCAAAAGTACAAAGAGGTCTGTGGTTTAACCTGAATGGATCACCATGGAAACAGATGCTGAGCATATACCATGCTCCAGCAGAATCCATGTTCAGAAAAAAAAAAAAAAAGGACACCACGTGCGTTTGTTTAAATCAAGGTCAGCAGGCCTGATCCGGTGGGGAGAAGAAATTAATGCATTTTTTTAATTTGGTATATTTACACTTTATTAATAAATAACTTAAGTTTGCTTCAAATTCTATATAATAAAAGATAATTGTATTTCTATATGAAAATTTTGACACATATCTAGACATCAAGGTCAATTATCGATATCATCTTTTAAATAATTTTGACCAGAACTGACCCTCGACTAAACCCAAATCAAATTTATTCTCACTTTTATCATTTTCTTCATCGTTTTAGGATTTAGCATGTCATGATGAAGTAAAAATACAACATAGTAACGCTGCAGTGAGAACAGAATAAATACCTGCCCTTTTTGTCAACCCAACTGATGATTATGAACGTTAAAAAAACATGGAGGATGTGTTGTCCTTACGCTCGGCGGTCATGATCAATCCTGTTGATCTTGCCTCCAATGAAAACACGGATCTTGCAATCCTTCCACCTCTTCTTGTTGGTCAGTAGGTAAGGGATCAGCAGGGTCAAACCTGGATGAAGAATAACAAACAAAAGATCATCTCCACCTGTGTTTATTACATTAATCTTACATTCTTTAGTGCAACCTAAACAGCTGAGTTAAATAAAATGTATTTTCTTTGTAGGGGAAGTTATAAGCAGCAAATATAACCGAGCTAGGGGTGCTGTGGTCTGCACAATCCAGACAGCACCGAAGAGTCAGCACTGGCTGTCAGTGAGGCGACGATGACGAGCCAGACTTTAATCGTCACTGATCACAGTTTAAATGTCCGACATGCCTCGGGTCTTGTTCGTGTCCTCACACCCAGCTGGACTAACAGAGTTCCCAAATCAGGACTTTAATTCCCCACATCAAATCTGTCCTCTCTACTGATCATCACCGAGCCTTGTTTCAGCACATACCGACGATTACGTTTCTATAATTTAATACATTATGTCTCCTATGACTAAAGAGAAAAGATTTAATTTGGTGTCTGTTGTGTTATTACATAATTCTTTTTGTATTTTTATTTTATACACAAACCTGTCAATTGTACACAGTAGTCTGTCGTTTATTGCGGGGGAGCCGTACCCTGAAGCCCTGCGATAAGTGAAAAAACACCAAGTAGGAATAGTAGTACAAGTAGTAAGTATTGTAGTTGTCACTGCATAAGTCGCGGTTTTTTTTGCATAAATTAACATGCCTGCGACTTATACAGTGAAGTAACGCATTTGTTTTTTCCCCCATATTTATAACCCAATTTCTGGCTGAGATCTGACGATTTCCTTCATTCTGACATGGAAAATAATGAACACTACCAATCTTTCATATGATTTTGCTAATTCCACTGTATTTATGCTCTGACACCGAATGATCAACTCACTTCAGTTTAGGCATATAAACGAGTGAAGCTGGAAAAGTATACAGCTGAAATCAATCTAATAAGAAGGAGCAGATGTGTTCACAACTTTTGTCTTCTTGTGTTAGCCCTAAGGGAATGCATACAAACATTCTCACATGCAAAAATAAATCACTGCTACGGTAGTTTCACCAGAGAGACGAGGTAAACGCAGTTTCTTTTGTCAGTCTCACCTCCGTCATCAAACAGCCACCAAACGTCCACTGTGCCTTTGCCCTGCTTCTTCTGGAACTGCTGGCTGGCCTCCAGCAGCCTCTGGTCGGTCACATTCAAAGGTAGAGTCGGACTCTTCTGGTCTACAACGACATTCAGAACACACACAAGCACGCCACAACATCACATGAAGATTCGTTTAACGGCGACACGAAGCTTTTAGTGAAGCTGGAACATTTGATGGCTTGGTTGGAGCTCACAGAGTGGAGTCAGACGACGGATCAAAAACAAAGAAATTGAAGGTTTTTAGGCCCGAACTGCACAGAACTGACTGTGACGTTATATCAAGAAGAACAGCTCTAATGTTGTTAGAAAATGTGATAGAGCAACTAAAACATATCTCGCACAACTCTTAAATGAGGAAAGAGGATCTAGAAAACCACAAAGTTAGATTTTCTAACTGTGCTCATAATTTAAAAAAAAAAGGAAATATTTTAAAGGTTTTAGAATATCTTCTGTCTTTTAAAACACTAACAGTTGCAGATACACGTTTCTTGCTTTCAGGACAAATTTGTCTTAAATGCCTTTTTGTGACTGATTGCAGTGAACTGAGGATTATTGAAGAAGCATTCTTTAAATTAACTTACAGATGCTTTAACAGAAAAGGGACATATTTTGGCCATGCTATTCTTTCTTTTGTTAAACATTTGTTACGGTTGTGATATATGCGTTAGGAAACAGTCCAGAGACAGACGGACCCAGGTGTAGTTCTGAAAACGACACCAGGTTATGACACTCCACTGTAGTCTGACTAAACAACAGACTCAAGTGAGGAGCCAGTGAAAAGCCAAGGCTTTTATTACATCTTTTAGGACACTTTCTATACAAATCTGATCTGTAAGAGTGAAAATGTGGACGATTAGGCACAGCTATCGGTTAGATACAGATTTATAGTAAACAAGCAGGACGCTGATTTCCCTGTCGCTGAAGGATTTGAATAGTGAATGTTTGTAGCTTCAAGGAGAGTTTTTCAGGACTGGAATTGAGCAGGGAATGCAAATGTTTTTCATGCAAGATATTCAAGTGGGTGGGTTTTCTCCGGGTGCTCCGGTTTCCTCCCACAGTCCAAAAACATGCATGTTAGACTGATTGGCAACTCTAAATTGTCCCGAGGTGTGAATGAGAGAGTGAATGGTTGTTTGTCTCGTTTGTCTCTATGTGTCCCTGTGATGGACTTGCGACCTGTCCAGGGTGTACCCCGTCCCTCGCACAGTGATTGCTGGACATGGGCACCAGCGACCCCCGTGACCCAAAATGGAACAAGTGGGTAAAGATAATGGATGGATGGATGGATATTCAAGTGGGTAGGAGCAACACTGTGTAGATGAATAGAGGTAGTTTTGTGGGTTTTTTATACGAAGCGGTGCAGACTGATCCTGCCGAATGGAGGGAGACATTGAATCCACCACCAGGTACAATGGAGGCGCCAAGGGGTGGCCAATGGTGGCTTTGACCATTATAGACTATTACGGTGGTGGCCATCTTGAATTTTGACGTGGCAGCCCAGCTTTGGAAGGGAACCTTACTAACACCTAGATTAGGCCTGTCACGATAAACAATAAATCAATCGCATGATCAATAAAAATGATCAACCTCATTTTCATTTACCAGTTTTATCGTTTCTTCGTGTCTCTCTCTTTCTACTGAAGACACAGCTCAACTCTGGTGCTCTTCACTGACCCCTCCCTTTCTCTTTTCTCTTTAAAATCTGTTTTAACCATCCAAAAACATGTTTTTGGATGGTTAAAAGCAGATAGGCTGAGAAGCTAAGCTACGAGCTAAGCTAACAGGCCGACCTCGGGAATAAACCTCCATCTTGTCGAGCTCGATAATTCACGGTTGAAACCTGTGCCTTCATGTAAAAAGTCGTTTTTCTCTGCAAAAACAAGCTGAGAACTTATTTACTGATTTTTTTTTTATTATTAAAAGCTTTGAGTGCTATGCAAGAGCTCAAATCACAGTGTCCACCATGTCAGCCCATGTCACGTCAAGGGTCCTCCCTCCCATTTTTCTTAGAGACAAATGCTGCTCAACTATCCATCCTTTGGTTCAAATAGTCTTATACTGCCATCAGGTGCTCAAAAAAGGTACTACATTACAAACAAATCAACATTTCTTCTAAAATTTAACAATTGTTAAATTTCAAACAATATTATCATTTATCACAATTATTTCTGAGACAATTAATCGTCCAGCAAAATTTGCTATCGTGACAGGCCTAACCTAGATGCAGTTGCACGCCAGAATGGAAGTTGGTACCTCACTAATTTTCCAAGCTATAGCACTCGCTATAATCATGGCTGGATGGATATTTCCAATTCTCTTTTCGTGCAGGGAACAACAAAACTGGGAGAACTTTTGTCCATGAAAAAATACAAGAACTGCCAGAAAACTAATGATCAGTGTATTACCAGGAGGTTTTACAAATGAGCTCGCTCATATGGGTTATTTGATGATGTTGATCAAATCTATTGTTTTCATTGTAGCATCAGTCTTCACTTAAACTACTTGTGTTAGGGGGCCAATTTCACCATTGTATGGGAACACAATACATACACATTATTATTATTATTATTATTATTATTAAAAAGCAGCGAGTCCCAGACTGTGACAAGGTTATTATTAAGAGGTTTTTTAAATGCCAGATGAGTTTTTGAAATGCCAGCAATGCACACAGCAACATGTCATGAAACATGTCTGAAGTTATTTAGCTGAAGTCAACTGTACATTTGTGAGTTTTGTTGATTGTTAAACAAAACAAGAACATGTTATTTTTTTCCTTTCTTTTAAGCACGAAAGAGTTACAGTTGTGCTTTTAAGCTGTAAAACACACAGGAGAAACACTTAATACTCAAGAGCGTACAAACAGAGAAGCAGTGATGTGTTTGAAACATGAAAACAGGACAGCAGTTTTCATCCTGGAAAAGAAAGCTATAAAAGATCATCACCTCTACTGAGAGAAGCAGTGAAAAAACTAAAATAAATAAGATGGATATCACCACTCAAACAGAAACTACTGAAGGCACTATCAAATACAGAACGCCAGAGACTTAGCTTCAGCTCGAAGCTAAAGACTGTTAAAAGGAAAAGCAGGAGAAAGATGAAAAGACTGGATGTTATTCCCCTAGTCCAAGCAGCTAGCAGGCCGGAAACACAGAACAGACGGAGGAGAGACACAAGACAGAGACAGCGGGGTGCAGGGACAGTATGTTAGTACAAGAAGAATTTAAAATATACAGAGAAAAATGAGGTGACAGAAGGCAAGAGTAAAAAAAAAAAAAAAACAAAGAGCTAGAAATGAGTAAAAAGCAGGAAGAGAAAGAAGAGTCTAAGACAAGTGAATGAAATGGATCTCCTGCCTTTTTTCAACAAGGGCTGAGTTGTAGCTTTGCCATCGTCGTCGTCGTCTGGGAAAAATAAAGTAAACAAGGAGAAAAAACAACTTTATGTGAAATGTTGATGCGATTCTCTGTGATCAGAAAGGAAGACAGTAAAACAGAAAATATTACACTTCCTAATCTCCAAAAGAGCTGTATAATTTCAGGCTGTCACTCAGTGTCATGGAGTAAACAGGAAGCTCTGCTCGTGTGACGTTTCAAAAAACACAAAGCTCCACTTTGTCTCTCTGGTTTCTGGAAAATTTCTCATGCCTGACCAGAACAATAAAAACCTGAACCAGGGCAGTCTAGTTAAATCAAACTGCTTTCTGCTGGTCTTCAGTAAGCACCCACCATGGACATGTAAGAGCTTTAAATACGCATGAATCTGTTCCAAATCTCCAGACTCGACTACTCCACGGAGGTTGTGCTTGGATTAAACTGAAAGTGTCACACAGGAAAAGAGGGCGATTGAGGTTTAAGGTAACTCTGCCTAGAGAGGAGCTGACGACCGTTCAGGTGGGACACTAAGAGGATTCAGAGGGATTCGTCTTAATCACATCATTTCTTTGACTTTCACTGAAGCAGAACATTAACAATATGGAGACCCCCCCCCCGTTTCTGTACAGATTAACTCCAGGTATATCTAAAAGCTTCTTGCATCTTTCTTAGAAAACTGCTAATGCTGTTATAATGTGATTAAATTAACTACACATGCATTTTTTTGTAAGTTGTATGTTTGTCTTAGCTTCAGTCACAGCATGGTGCTTCTCCTGCAGTTGGAAGTGTTTGGGTCAACATTTCTATGAAAAGGAGAACAGCGGTTTGCTTGTTTCGTTTGTGTAAATGGCAACAATACATGAGGATTTCTCTTTTTTTATACACACACAAACACACACAGTGCGGCCAAAAAACATCTGTGGACTAAAACTGGGCCCAGAGGGAAAACTAAGATTAAAGGTCTCCGAGGGAGTTCCTGTCAGTGGGACAAAATGGAGGAAGCCATTGATTGGTTAAACAGGGCTGTCACAAAATACAGTTAAACTAGCCTTCCTCTGAACGACACACTAACAAACTCAACTAACACACAAACATGGCAAATAAGAATCAAATATGGTTTGTATTTTAAAACACAACCCTACTGCTAAATTAATAATATCAAACCTGGATGTTCTACTTGGTGGATGAACAGAGAAAATAAAATGAAGTAGCTTGATGTGATCCTGGCTAACCTTTATGTACAGCCGGACTGTTCTGAAGGCTGGTGGCCTTGGAAGACGGCTTGGATGAGTCAGCATCAGAGTCTTTACTGGTATCAATGGAAACAATCACATCCTTCGTTCCAGAAGACTTCTCCTGGGAGGATAAGAGTTCGTCTGGACAGATGGAAAGAGAGAAAAACATAAGTACCTAGTAAAACTGTTATAACGTTGGGAGCTTACAGAAGATACATGAATACATTAGGTTCAGAATCTACTAAACAATCCTGGTTGCCAGACAACCTGAAGTTTGTAACAACCCAGCTAAACTTGAAACCTTGACAAAAACCAACAACATGTTTTCAATTTGCATTACATTAAATGGCCCATAATAGTGTTTAAAATAAACAATAACTAAACAATATTCTTCCCACAGTGGTGTAGAGTGAAGATCTCGCTGCTTAGACTGAAAACTTAATCATGTATCTGAATTTTGGACTACCTGCTAAAATAAAGTGATCAGAGTGGGCAATGACAATAAGGCAACACATCATCAGAGACACCTCAAGGATGTGTACTCGGTCCTTTGATTTTTTTTTTTTTTTTCTCTGCCAACATGTAAGCATACTGCCTAATTCAATGTAATCCAGCGCATTAAGTCTGACTGTGACCCATCAAAGTTTGGATTAATCAGCAATAAGAATGAAACTACTTGCAGAGCGGAACTGATGTAACGATTAAAATGATGTGGAGACAATAAATATGTCCATAAATACCAAAAAAACTTAAGACCTGATTGATGACTTTAGAAAAAAAAATGTAGATCATAATTTTGTATTTGTTACTAAAAATCTTTGGACTTGGAACTATTAGTGAATGTAAATCTGGGAAAAACTATTAAACACTAGAAACTTTTGAAAAAAGATGCATGTGGAAGGAAGAATTGAATGATCTTGTATGTGATTTGACTGCATCTGCCATTCTTTTATTAGTCTATACAAGCGAGGACAGACCTCAGTAAAGTGAGCAATGAGCTAGCTGCTTCTATAAAAACATATGGCTTTGTCAGACATGTTTGATACCTTGTCCTTGGATAAGAGACACATCCAGGCCCTCTTGCAGTCGCAGAACAACAGCACCATACTGGAAGTCAAAGGCATCACTAAAATAAAAATAAATAGTTTGTCACAAAGTATTCTGAACGTATGAAAGACAAACACTACAAGTTGAACTTTGTACTGGTTACTACTACTACTACTACAACTGCTCCACAGACAGAATACCTTACTGAGAGTACTAACAGTGATTGCATCATTGTGAACCCTTTTAGACCTTCAGCTTTAATGCCATAATCCCAACACTTCCAGCTCAAAATTTTCAGCCTCTTTATAGCCTCACATGATATGACGGATCAAGAAAACAACATTCTATAACAAATTAAAAGAAATGCAATAAACCGGGCAAGGCTGTGAAGACCCAAAAATATTTCAATAACTTAACTCAGAATACTCGTTTTTAAAATGCTAAGAAACACAAGATCAAAGTCAGTTTTTCTTAAAGACAAAGGTGTAATTTGTACAATCCTATTTTGTACATGCACCTAGATTATTATAGAAGCAGTTTTCTTTTAATTGACCGATTGTACAAGTGTTAAATTAAACCTTAGGTCATGAAAGGTTTAAAAGGTCTGGTTTACTACTTACTGAATCATATTAATGTAGGTCTCCACGTTCATCATGTCACCGTCTCTCCAGTCATTCTTGAAGCCCAGCACCAGGGTATTAGGCCGGAGGCGACCCAGACCAGCAGCCTCAAGAGGGACAATAAAACAAATTTCCACTGATGGTCCAAATTTGAAAGAAGCTTTGAAGAAAAGCAGCTGCTAAATTGATTTATTAAAACAACTAAATTGTCTTTTTCATTTAAGGCTTGATAATTCCTAGAAACCATCAAATCATTTAGGAGCAGGAAGTAATAAAATATAAACGGAGAATTCAGCCTCCTGTGTTTATTTGCCCAATTCACTTGCAAGTCATCACTTCAAGCTTTCACATATTAAGATAAAGGTTTCTAGAGCAGAACAGCACATATGGAACCACAGATCTATGGCTGGTTTTAAGTCAAGAAACTAATAATACAATATTTAAAATAATTCATATTATAAACAAATTGCAGCAGTTACAATCCAAACATGATGCTTTTATTGCTGGAGCATAGTCATTCAGCTTATTATAAATGTTTTTTAAGCCCTTGTAAATTCAATTCTGACTTTAAAAAGCACTCATAATAATGCAAATTATAAAAACTTGCTACAATGTCATATGGTTTTAATGAGGCAATGCTGAATTTTAAGCTAAAAAAATGTAATGCATTGATGACACGTTTGTATTTTTAAATACTGGAGATCTAAAAGATAAAATCCAGAGTAAACACAATGAACTCTGCGGTTTTGACACTTTCCATAATGATAACTCTTGTATTCAAGGTTCAAGGATTCAAGGTCCTTGAATCCTTGACCCAAGATAACTCCTGGACAAAGTTAATAAAATAAGATTTAGACCAACAGGTCTCAGTAGTGACACTGAAGTTTGAAAATCCTAACATGAATTAAAACAATCGGAGGGCTTTTGTGGAAAAGTTCAAATGTTTTTACTTTAAGCAATAAGATCTGTTCAGGCAGGCAAAAATAAAACATTTCCTGTGCCTGAGCTATTGGGAAACCTGTGCCATTAGCATACCAACTCAAAGAGCACAGGGAGTTTGGAGTTGTTTTGAATAATAAAACTGCATGCTGACAGTGAAGTTGTGGAGCCGGTTTCCTACCTGGAGCAGGTACAGAGAGCCCTGTCTCAGGTCCTCAGCAAACACTGGTGTGTAAAAGGCCTTGGTTTCATTTTTCATCAGCCAGCGCTGGTACCGGGACTGATCTGCAGCAAGGTCTTTAAAGTTTGGCTTTCTGTAGCCCTGTGGAGAATCACACACACAGAAATATAATTTCACAGCCTTGGACAAATGACTTTCTGCCAACACCTCCTGTTTGAACCTGCGAGCCTCTGATCTGGAGTGACCAGCTACAAAACTTGATCACCGTGTTGCCTTTTCATTCTGATCTTATGTTTGCTCCTCCTGATCCCAATTAGGGGTGCACACAGCTGTCACTTTGAAGCTAGTTCTGACCTCAGTCCCAACCACTTTCATTTTCTTAATAGGATTATTTATTAGAAATATAATCTAAATAAATAAATTTATTTTGGGGATAAAAAGCTGCTGCCCCCGCGACCCGACTTCGGAATAAGCAGAAGATAATGGATGGATGGATTTTGGGGCTTTGCCACTTCAACTATCCTCGTCTTCGCACGACAAGGAACCAGTTAAGGGCCTCCCCACTGCTGGCACCCACTCCCACTCATCCCAGTTTATGAGACCACCTCATTTGTGGTTCCAAGCGGACTGCTCCGAGGTGCAGATTTGATGCAAGCAGCTGTTGATTGGCCAACCAAGATACGTCACTGGACCCGCCCAGCAAAACTGGAAACTACGTCTGGACCTCCATTTCCTCTCAGATTATGTCGACAGACAGCGCCACAACAATGAGAGTGCATTACAGACAGATAGAGATGATGGGGCATAGCTAAACCCCAACTTTATAAACAGTGTTGGGATAAGCTAAAGAAATTGAAGTCCAATTATAGGTTGATTAACGACAACAATAGAAGGAGTGGCTCGGACACACAAAGACCAGTTAAGATCCCGCCCACTTTGCATTGACCCGCCCACAGAGCAGGGAAATAGGTCAGCCTACACTGTAGTGGCAAAACACCTACACCTAAGAAGAAGCTAGAAGAGGAGAGGCGAGTGGAGCCACACTTACCGATGGCAAAGTGGCAAAAAGTCAGGTTTTTGTCTGATACTTTGTGTCTTTGAGGAGAGGCTACGTGCTGCCCTTCAGTCAGGAAACTAATGTTATTAGTTGGAAATGTTTACACCATCTAAGCTCCTTTTCGGTCCAATTGGAAGCAACAGCACCAGGCAGGAGAGCAGATCAGAGGCCACTTGTGGAGAACAACGTGTTCCACAGAGCCACAGAGCTGCTGCCAGAGGACTGCACAAAGCCTGCATTCATCCACTCAACACGGCCTTTCGATTGTAAAACATTTATGCCCAGCAGGGGATTTGTAAAAAGCTTTTTTTTTTTACGCTGGGCGTACAAACGCATCAACTTCTAGCCATTGTGCACTAATGTTCTTGCTGCAGAGTTCTACAGTAACTTTATAGACAACCTACACACCCCCCACCATAAAAAAAAAATAAAATTATGAATTTGCCGAGCGTCATGTTTGGAGAAATTAAAAAATAACAACAGCACAAACACCAACAGTCTAGCACAGTGGTGGGCTGATGATGTGAGCCTGTTTTTCACCCGTAGGACTTGAGCACTTTGAAGTAACTGAGTCGACCATGAACTCATTTGTAGAACAAAGTATTATAGAGTCAGATGTGAGGTCATCTGTCTGACAGCAGAAGCTGAAACCAATTGGGTCACAATGACAGTGATCCCAAACACAGCAGCTAATCTACAACAGAACGGCTGAAAAACAAAATATTTAAGGGTTTGAAATGGTCCAGTCCAGTTCTGGACCACAACTCGACTGAAAAGCTGTAGTGGGACCTTGAGAGCTGTGCAGAAAAGAATGCAAGCTAATCTCAGTGAACTGAAGCAATGCAACGTTGTAGTAAAAAAAAAAAAAAAAAGTGGGCCAAATTTTTGCCACAACCATGTGAGAGACTGATAAGGTTATACACAAAATGTCTTATTTTCATTTATTACTGCTAAAGATGGTTCTAGAAGCTGCTGAATCATGGGACAGGCTTAAACACGGCTTTCACTGTTGTTTTTGAACATATGGATGCAAGAATTGAATGTTTTTAGAACCTGAAGATAAAATCTTTTTTGAATTATTATTATTTTCTGGTATATGAAACCCTAAAATTGAAAAATGGCAGAACTTTGTTTTCCCTATGGCTGTATGATTCCTAATTATTATGAACCAGGGGAGAAAAAACAATCTGTACTGGGCACAATGCCACATGGACACCGTCAGCACTTGGTAAATGATCAATAACTGATTTGAAAGTGTCAGATTGTGGTGTGAATGAAAAGTCCAGTTTGAGAAAATGTCTATTATTTAGCAGGCCTGTCACGATAACAAATTTTGCTGGGCGATTAATTGTGTCAGAAATTATTGCGATAAATGATAATACTGTTTGAAATTTGACAATAAGTAGTAATTATTGTCAAATTTAAGAAGAAATGTTTGTTCATTTGTTTTGCATGTTGTACCTTTTCTCGACCACCGGAAGCATAAGACTGTTTGAACCAAAGGATGGATAGTGAGGGAGCGAGCATCTAAGAAAAATGGGAAGGAGGCACCTTGACGTGACATGGGCCGTCTCTCTTCCTGTTTTGCGGTTCTCAAAATGGCAGACACTCTGTGTGGTTTGAGCTCTTTAGCATAACATTTTTCACACAAAGCTTTAAATAAAAAAATCAGTAAACAAGTTCTCAGCTTCTTTTTGCAGAGGAAAACAACTTTTTACACAAAGGCACGGGTTTCAACCGTGAATTTTGGAGCTTCGACAAGACGGAGGTTTTTTTCCCCGAGGTCGGCCTGTTAGCTTAGCTTGTAGCTTAGCTGCTTTTAACGATCCAAAAACGCAATTTTGGACGGTTAAAACGGACTTTACAGAAAAAAGAGAAAGGGAGGGGTCAGTGAAAAGCACCAAGTTGAGCCTTTTGTCATCCAGTGTCTTCAATAGAAAGAAACACAATGAAACGATAAAGCTGATAAATGAAAATGAGGTTGATAATTTACATTTATCATCGATTTATTGTTTATTGCCATAGGCCTTTTATTTAGACTAGATGAAACTGAATAGCTTATTGTGTCAGCCCCTTACTGTGAGTAATTCTGACACTGTTTGCTTGACTGCCAATAGCAGCCTTTGTGGGTGAAACTGCACTACTAATGTCCATCCATCCATCCATCCATCCATCCATCCATCCATCCATCATCTTTACCCGTTTATTCCATTTTGGGTCACGGGGGTCGCTGGTGCCCATGTCCAGCAATCACTGTGCGAGGGGCGGGGTACACCCTGGACGGGTCGCAAGTCCATCACAGGGCCACATAGAGACAAACGAGACAAACAACCATTCACTCTCTCACTCACACCTAGGGACAATTTAGAGTTACCAATCAGCCTAACATGCATGTTTTTGGTCTGTGGGAGGAAACCGGAGTACCCGGAGAAAACCCACGCATGCACGGAGAGAACATGCAAACTCCACCCAGAAAGGACCCTGGACCGGGGTTTGAACCAAGGACCTGCTCGCTGAGAGGCAGCAGCTCTACCAGTTGCGCCACCGTGCTGCCCGCACTACTAATGTATGCAATCTAATTTGGTTTGGAAGATTTTTGTTCGACAACTTGTTAGGGAAAAAAAAGAAAGACAAAAATCTGCTCACCGTGCGAACATGACCACAGATCATCAGGCCTACATTCTTGGTGAAAGTATGAACCAGATCCACAAGGGCAGGACGGGAGTTAGGGTAGCCAGTCATCACCAAACACTGGGGTCTAATAATAAAATAAAAACGATTAAAACATCAGCATCAACATTTATTCACGCATTTAAAGGACTGCGCCTACAGTCATGGCAGTTCCAGATTTTGTTGCCATCAAACCTATAGACATTTTTCTGACCTACACAGAGGCCTCTTCTTACACACAAATCAGGTGTGGCGTAGCGAACATCAAAGCAAATATTTTAAGCAAAAGGATTTCGTGGAAGTGATGGGAGGAGACAAGAAGGAGCTCAGGGGAACACACAAGTGACTCTGAAAGCACCATCTGATGCCTTTTAATCCCCACTTGGTTTGCTGTCATGGGAACGGTCCAACAGCACAGGGTTACCAATTATTCCTTGAAAACAACACTGGACCCCAGTGTGCACATGCATCTGTCAGAGAATGAATAGAAAGCCACACATGTCATTGTAAAAACTGCACATATGTTTTTTTTTCCGGAAAAGTAATTCCACCAAGAATGGCAAGTAGAAGGTTTCTTGTGTGTAGAAATTTAGTGAGCAAAGATTACTGTATTACACTTCTCGTCTCTTCTTGTCCTTTTTAAATAAAAACACTCCCTGAGGTTTCACAGCAACATGCTCATATGTGGTACCTGAAGTTCTTGATGTGGTCCTCCACTCCACTGAGGTGCAGAGTGTGGGTCAGGGCTTGCTGGTAGGTCAGAGCCTGGGTCGATGAGCCCCAGTTCACATCTGGAGGACCAAGACACATGCAGGCAGAAAAAAAACACTGGAATTAGCAAGTGTTTACAGATCAGTCTGCTGAGCTAAAGGCCATATGACCCACACAGAGAGAGTCAGAGAAAATGTCTCGTGTGTGTGTGTAGCTGCATCTCAAACTGTGTAAACACGTGTGTTTAGAGGACAAGCGGGCTTAGCCTTTCCAAAGGTACAGACACATAATACATTTCTTCTTTAAACCTTTCCTTTACTCAAAAGCTAGTTTTTACTCAGGTAAACTGAGTGACTAACATTTCAGAGCCTGTTCAGAAGAGAGAAAAAGCTAAAGATGGAAAAACAATGTTTTGTTTTCGCAACTTTTTTGTTTAAATCAGCATATACCGGTATTCATAATATTTGTACTATTGTAAAATATATATATTTTTATGTTAAGGTGATTTTATTTAGATCCTATTGTTCAAAACACACACATATTCTTAAAAAAATCTTAAATAAAGCCATTCACTTGTAAATGCCAACTGTGGAGTTCCACAGGGTTCTGTGCTTGGTCCTCAATATTTTTATTATCAGGAAGTAGACCATAAATTTCTACGAAATATTAAAATTTTTTTTTTAATATTTCAAATATAATTAAACAAATAATTTAGTTACACTCAACAATGTGTTAAATCCCTAAAGAGTAATTACTTTTTTCTCTCTACCATCAGTAATGACTAAGTTTCACCCTTTATGCTGCATACTCTTAGATGGCAATTAGCCATGAACTCAATGACAAATTTATAGCAAAGAGTCTTCCTTCATATTTTCTCCATCATTTCCTTATTTGTCTACAGATATAAACTCTTAAGGCAATCTTATAATTTTATTGGGAAGCTCTTAGTCAATTTTCAAGCATTTGGGAAAATATCTACATGTGCAACATGTCTGCATGTACATCAATGTACATAGTGAACATAAAAATACAACCAAACACCGACATTTGAGCAGTTGGGTAGGGAGGTAATGGTAAAATACTGGATAAGGTACACAATAAATGGTTTCCATTCATTTTCTTCAAGGAATAGTATGTTTTATATGTATACCATTACAACTTTGATGTAAGTGTTTTGCAACAGCATGCTAAAAACACATCTGAAAATGTCTGTGTGCTTGGTAACTCACCTGGCTTCTTGTGGCTCACATAGATATAGAGAGCCATAACAATGACATTAGTGAGGAGAGCAGCCGCCCAGTTGATGACAAACATCACCACACAGCACAGGATGGCTCCAGCAAGGGAAACCCACATGTTGTAATATTTGAAACTGGGACGCCAGCCTGAAAAAAAAGACAGCGATTAGTCTCAGAATGGCAACAAGAGGCACAGTACAATAAAAACATTAAACACCAATATTGTATGGGTAGCATGGTGTTTAAACTGGGAAATGCACTTTTTTTCTTAAGGGTCAAGTTAAGTCAGAATGATAGAGAGGTGGTTCTCTAAACATAAGATTTTTTAATAGTAACATGGTATATTAAACAGTAAATGTTGCAGTTAAACAGCATGATAATGTTAAAATTGGAGTTAAGCATATGCTTAGGTTAAACAATGGAAGTTAGCAGCCTGTTAAGACTTCAGACCAGAAGGTTATACCAGATAGTTGAGATTATTTTAATTTACAGCGTACCACAAAAACTAGACTAGTGGGAACTTAGTGATGTATCTAAGGGCTGTGTGTGTGTGGTTACACATCGACGGAGTCTAAAACAAACCACAGGACGTAAACGGTACACTGACTCTATGGTTCCTCTAATTCCCATGTAGGGGTTTTACATTTCCCAGAGAGAAAGCACAAATTGGCCACGAAGAGACTAGAACACCAAATTGAGTTTACAGTTCCAGAGCAGCAAAGACATTACTTCATTACACTCGAGTGCATCTAAATGAGTCATGTACCATTTAGGTCCAGTGGACCTGCTTGAGCTGTTAGAAGCAGACAAAAAATCTGTACCTGCAGATCTGCTTAAGATTTTGTATCGAAGAAAGAGAAAAAGCATAGAACTCAATATAAAAAGATCAATTAAGGAGATTACTCATCTGTTCATCAGCATAAAAGTATGGTACATTTTCTTTGAAACACAAGTTCATTTTTAAGAAATCAATCTAGCGCTCGAGGATAATCTCCAAGTGGTTCTTTTTGAAACAAACAAACAAAAATTCCATCTTAAACCGTGTTCCTTAAGTCATCATTTGGATCTTAAAAATAAAAATAGCAACCATATTTTTTTAAATAGTGAAATTTGACAAATCAGTCAGAATATTTTACATATTTCTCACAAAACCATGTCCATATGTGAGGATAATATTTGTCCAGTTTTTGAGATGTATGTAACAACTGTCTTTCAATCAATCTTAATAATTGCATCCATGTCTAGAAAGACTGTTCCCATTTCAATTGATAATTTAAACACTAGGATCTGAGAGCAACATTGGTTCTGTACAAAGTAATTTATCAATACCAGAAGAGTGATACCGATGAGTCAGGTCATCTTAAAACTCCCAGAATACATTTGGTTTTGAAAGTCTAACACCATGAAACAAGATTACAGCACAGTCAAAAATAAAATGTCCCTGGCTGAAAGGTTGAGGCCCCAAAACGCTCTGAACAGAGAAAAAATACAGTAACACACCATCACATGCCTTCATATTTTTTATGGAGCTTAAGAAATTCCTTTCAACATTTATCACAATCACAGTTAAACACTATATAACTTGTGACTCCGGCTGGCTGAGAAGCTGTTTGGTTTAAGCGGGACAAGGACTGTCTCGTAACTTTCACAGAGCTTCTATTTCTGTCCTACGTTCAAACTCAGGATCTTTTACTGCTTCCTTCCTTTGTTCTTCATCTTGAGCTTACCTGGAGAGTTAGCCAAAGATGCGTGGAACACTGAGAAATTGATCAAAGCGTAAGACGCCAGGAAAAAGTTGGAGATTATGGGTGCAATTGTGTTCAACTCAGCTGCAAGAGAAACAAACACTGATTTTAGAACAGGCAGACACTCTGGTCCTTCCAGCAAGTCAAAACTTCATCTTAAGAACAGTATAAAGTATTAATGAGCTACTCACTTTATATAATGGCACATTGAGAATTAACTTTCCTAATTTTTCTAATGAATAAAATGAAAATACATAAACTTGTAATCATTTTAATGTCACAAAAATCATTTTTGATGTCTGAAATGTGACAATCAAATGTTTGTATTTAAGTTTCACCAACTACAAACCCTTTCAAAAACATTTAGAAAAAAGTTTTCAGCTGAGCAACTCATTCAGCCGTACCAATGAGGATGAAGACCAGAGCGATACCAAAGGTCAGGATGTAGCCTCGGATGGGTTCGTTGTTCTTGCCGTAGCCTTTGGCAAATATTCCTATGTGGGGGTAGATGTTGTCCTTACATAAAGCCTGTGGAAAAATAAATGTTTTTACCATTCTTGTCGTTTACTGCAAATTAAAAACAATCATAATAACATACCAATATACTAAAAGTATGTAAAACTGACACTACAGCTCATCATTAGTGTAATCATTAAATTGTCAATGCTTGGATTGGGTCTTACCTGGAAAACTTTAGGAGCACTGACTAAAGAGGCCAGAGCGGAGGACAGAGTGGCAGAGAAGATTCCAGCTGAGATGATGGGTGAAAACCCTGAAACCAAGCTCATCGCCTGAACATGAAAAGACATGCCAGTTGAACCGTCTGATATTTTTACAGGTGCTGGTCATAAAATTAGAATATCATGAAAAAGTTGATTTATTTCAGTAATTCCATTCAAAAAGTGAAACTTGTACATTACATTCATTCATTACACACAGACTGATATATTTAAAATGTTTATTTCTTTAATGTTGATGATTATAACCAACAACTACTGAAAACCCCAAATTCAATGTCTCAGAACATTTGAATATTGTGAAAAGGTTCAATTTTGAAGACACCCGGTGGCACACGCTAATCAGCTAATTAACTCAAAACACCTGCAAAGGCCTTTAAATGGTCTCAGTCTAGTTCTGTAGGCTACACAATCATGGGGAAGACTGCTGACTTGACAATTGTCAAAAGATGACCATTGACACCATGCACAAGGAGGGCAAGACACAAAAGGTCATTGCCAAGAGGCTGGCTGTTCATAGAGCTCTGTGTCCAAGCACATTAATAGAGAGATGAAGGGAAGGAAAAGATGCAATAGGAAAAAAGTGTACAAGCAGTAGGGATAACCGCACCCTGGAGAGGATTGTGAAACAAAACCCATTCCAAAATGTGGGGGAGATTCACAAAGAGTGGACTGCAGCTGGAGTCAGTGATTCAAGAACCACCACGTAGAGAAGAATGAAAGACATGGAGTTCAGCTGTCACATTCCTTGTGTCAAGACACTCTTGAACAAGAGACAGCGTCAGAAGCGTCTCGCCTGGGACCGCTGCCGAGTGGTCCAAAGTTATGTTCTCTGATTAAAGTAAATTTTGCATTTCCTTTGGAAATCACGGTCCCAGAGTCTGGATGAAGAGAGGAGAGGCACAGAATCCATGTTGCTTGAGTTCCAGTGTCAAGTTTCTACAGTCAGTGATGGTTTGGGGAGACATGTCATCTGCTGGTGTTGGTCCACTGTGTTTTCTGAGGTCCAAGGTCAACACAGACGTCTACCAGGAAGTTTTAGATCACTTCATGCTTCCTGCTGCTGACCAACTTTATGAAGATGCAGATTTCATTTTCCAACAGGACTTTGCATCTGCAGACAGTGCCAAAGCTACCAGTACCTGGTTTAAGGACCATGATATCCCTGTTCTTAATTGGCCAGCAAGCTTGCCTGACCTTAACCCCATAGAAAATGTATGGAGTATTGTGAAGAGGAAGATGTGATACACCAGACCCAACAATTCAGAAGAGCTGAAGGCCACTATCAGAACAACCTGGGCTCATAACACCTGAGCAGTGCCACAGACTGATCCACTCCATGCCACGCTGCATTGCTGCAGTAATCCAGGCAAAAGGAGCAACAACTAAGTATTGATGCTGTACATGCTCATACTTCTCATACTCATACTTTTCAGTTGGCCAACATTTCTATTGGTCTTAAGTAATCAAATTTTCTGAGATCCTGAATTTGGGGTATTAATTAGTTGTCAGTTATAATCATCAACATTAAAAGAAATAAACATTTGAAATATATCAGTCCATGTGTAATGAATTAATATAATATACAAGTTTCACTTTTTGAACGGATTTACTGAAATAAATCAACTTTTTCATGATATTCTAATTTTATGACCAGCATCTGTATTTAACAACTACCGATTCTGAATCTTTCGAATAAATGCTTCTAATGTTCGTTGTTTATTAGGGTTGTTCCAAACCTGGTAGTCATTGTGAAGTCCATGGCGGCAGCCTTTTGCGCTGTTCTTGCAGGTAGAAAAGTCAAAGCCCAAATGGCAGGCAACATCAGAGCAGTTTGTCATGAAATGAGAACTGACTGTGTCATTGACATTTCCACTGGCATCTCTCACAATACAGGATCCTACAGTCAGAAGAGTATCACACACACAATTATTCTCCTGAAATAAATAAAATACACTCAGACATACAGACAAACAGAAGGTACTAGTGCACCTGTTGAAATAGCAACGCCCAGGTAGACGATTCCTGTGATCAAAATAGCCAGAAGCGTTCCTTTGGGAATAGCCATTTGTGGGTCCTACAACAGAAACATCACAAAAACGTAAGACAACGATATACCGTATATAAAAGCACAAGTCTGATTTAAAGATCAGATCAAAGATCCAGTCATGATGCAGCAGTAAATGTAGGACACCTTCAAAAAGAGATGATGCAGCTGACTTACAGAAAGGTCTCCTGAAATGTTGGCACCAGCCAGAATACCGGTGGCTGCAGGAAAAAAGATGGCAAATACAGAGAAGAACGTCTCGTCTCGAAAGTCCGGTCCCATGTTCTCCCACATTATCTTACCTGAGAGGAAAATAACAGCAAATAGCAACTCAACTTCACTGGTAAAAGTAAAATGAGAGGAATATCAAAAGGGAACGCTAAGCTCATTTTAGTCCCAGTGTGTGATCATACCATTATAGCCAAAGAAGCCTGAAGGTTCCTTTGATTTCACAGAAATAAAGGATCCAATGAAGTAATTTATGATGGCTGTGACCAGAACAACAAGCAAGAAGATCTGGGCCTAAGAAAAGCAAATAAATATATTCATCCGCTGAACTGCTGAACGAAATCAACTGTCAGTCTATCAAACTGGGCACCGTTTATACCTTGGCCTCCCATTCCATTCCTGCCACAGAAATGCCCAGGAGAAGAATTATTGTGATGGTGCCGATGATTCGGATATCGTTGATTTCATCAGTCATGACTGCACCTACGCCCTGTCAGACAAATCAGAGTTGTTAGACGGAATTTCAATGATCAGTCAGCGTCAGGTGCAGAGTGATCTGATCAATGGTAGTAGTCATGTCAGCTGATTTGTAGTGAAAAAAGTTTTTACAGAAAAGGATTTACACTTAGAAGTTCCACCACGGTCTCGGCGAATCCCACCACATACATGGCTACAGCCACTGCATTGGCAAAGGCAAAGATCAGACCAATAGAACCTCCAAACTCTGGTCCCAAACTCCTCGAAATCAAGTAATACGCTCCTCCTGGAAGAAGACATTTAGATAGAAAAAATTTTACTGGTATGGGTTGGGTTAGTGTATTGGAACGTCAATATTTGAGCTCTAAATACAGCAACGTTACTTTTAATGATTTGTTTTTATAACTTATTTACAGTTTGAAATGTCAGCTGGTCCAAATATTACCCAAGACAATGAGACGTTTCTTCAATGTTATGGCCACAGTTGGAGTCTGACTCATCTCACTTAATCTCACTTGTTTAGGGGTCAAATAAAGCATCAAGTTTCTTTTGAATATGATGATACAATGTTTCAGAAAACCATTATTGCTTGAACAGCTGAGAAATAGCACAGCTGACCAATGACCATTGGAGCCATTTCAGTTCTAGGACTATAAAACCCACTGTATAGCTGGACGTGCTGTTTCCAAACGGTCTGCCTTCACACTTTCCATTACATCAGTTTAACAAAAGTGTAAAAATTAAGTTCCTTAAAAAAAATGATTCATTGGATTGTTTTTTGTGTTATCTTGTGTTAGTCCATAAATGAAATCCCAAGTGCAGGAATTAATTGGATTAAATGTATTGAACTAGATTTATTGGACTGCATGTAACTGGATAAGAATCGAACTGGTCTGCCTGGTGCCCTGAGCACTTTTCTTTTTAATTATGTAGCCAAACTGAATTAAATCATTTTAATTTCTTTGAGCAAATAATTTAAGCGTTAATGTCTGGAACCTGAAGTCAGATTTATGTTTTATTTAGACTAGGTACAAACTGCAGGTCCTAATGCTAAAGTCCAATTTTTTGCTCAGATACTCAGATTTTTGTGTCATACACATTACAATTTCACTGCGACCTCCATCAAACTCCAGTATGAACCATCTATGGCCCTGAAGTGACCCACATGCATAAAATAAGACATCAAATGCAGCATGCTACGTCTACAGAAGTAAATACAGATGCTACACATTAGCATCTGTGTATCATTCTAAAGTGGTTGTGCAATTAGAACCAACTAAATTATTATCTGCCATGCTTGTTTGGACCTCTGTTTACATTTGATCTACTGCACTTCTGGAATGGAAACGTTGCACTAAAATTGAAACCAGCTCAAGTATCGATCCCATCATGCAAGTATCGATACAAGCCCACAAAAACATTAGTGTCAGAGTCAGAGAGAGAGTCAGAGTTTCTTTATTTGTCATTCTCATCACATGTGGTATATGTAGCGGAACAAAAGTGTACACAGGGTCCCAGTTACATCAAACAATAGCAAAAGTATAAAGTGTAAAAAGAAACAGTAAATGAGGATCTGAGATATAAACTAAGATATAGGCTAAACCAGGTACATCAAACCCACTTACAAAAGGGGGCCAAAATTAAAACCTTTTTCAAACTAAGGGCTGTTTTCAGAATCTACATTAACTCAAATCAGATAAGCCAACATCTTTTCTTGGTTGCAGGTTCCTCAAGAGTTTGATTGGTTTCATTTGACGTTCTCAGTTGCACTTTGACATCATAATCAAAGATTACTGACAAAAATTAAAGTGATAGAAGTATTTTACATTTAAAATAACATCTTGGGGGCCAGATAAGATGTTAACGAGGGCCACATTTGGCCCCTGGGCCTTTAGTTTGACACATATGCGCTAAATAAACGGCATACAGTACGCTAAAAGATCTAAGATATATGCTAAAGACTAATAGTGCAAAACAATACAGTGAACAGCAGCAGCACGGTTTTCATAGGTTCTGTTCAGCTATAATTTACACGCTTAATGAGAGCACTAACTAAACTAACATAAACCGGGATTTATTCAAAACGTGCAACAAAAATACAGAAACAAGGTGCCAAAAGTGAAAAAGAAATAAATCTACAGCAGAATGGTCCTATTGGCAGAGTGATTCTGATAACAGTGAGGTTATCTTAGCAACATGGTCCAGTTAGCACCATGGTACTGTTAGCGGCGTGGTTCAGTAAGCGGCTTGGTGCTGTTAGCAGCGTTAGCAGGTCTTGTTAGCAGGTCCCTTCAGCAGAATAATGATGATAAGGACCGCAGCAGCTGCCTCCCAGACTGCCCTCCAGAACTGGGTCCAGCAGACAGAGAACATCCAAGGTTCCCCAGCGGAACCAAGCGGGTCCGCAGAGTTTGGTCCGATCAGGCAGACGGAGGATCTTGTTAGCAGCATTAGCAGGTCTAGTTAGCAGGTCCTATCAGCAGCTTGATGGTAACAATATTTGCAGCAGCTGCCCTCCAGAACCGGGTCCGGCAGACATAGAACATAAAAGTTTCCACGCGGAACCAAACGGGTCCGTAGAGTTCGGTCAGTGCAGGCAGATGGAGGATCAAAGAGACAGCCGCCATGACAGGTCTGAGCCCGAGGCTGGAAGGACTGAACCACGATGGCACGACAGCGACACAGAAAACTCCACAAGTGTGTCGCAGTCATACCCGTACTTTGGATGTGCATTGTAGGCGCAAAAACAAACAAACAAAACAAAAAATGGTTCAAACAAAAACAACAGGAACAAAAAAAAGATAGAGTTCACTGGGAGCCTGTGAAGCTGCGACTCAGCTAATCACGGCCATCTTGGAAGGTATCAATTAGCTATGGAACTTTCTGGCAGTGTCCATGAACAACTCACCGCCTTTGTCAACCTCCTCATGCATAAATGAATTATGATGTCATTAGTATGCTGCGTTTTATGTTGTGAGGTCTTTTTTTTTTTTTGCAACGTCCACACTGTGCCCTGGTCAGGACATAGGGGGAGATACCATTGTTTTTACTTCCCCTCCCCTCGTGTTTCTCTTTTCCTTATTTACTTTTGTGCGTCTGAAACAGGTCTCTCTTGTAAACGAGTCCTTGAGGCTCAATGGGAACTAACCTGTATAAATAAAGGTTGAATGAATGAATGAATTGTTGGTGTCGATTCTCAATCAACCAGCATGTGGCAAACTAAAGGAACAAAAACGAAGCAACTGGACTTTTGTTTTGAAGACGCGCAGAGTTCCAATCTTTAAATTGTGAGATGCTAGTACTGATATCCTCAATGTTTTGATTGATCTGCAAATCTGTACTTTAAAGACGTGAAAGTCTGACGAAATGTGATATGATCATTCAGACCGAGGTTGCTTTGAAAAACATCAGATGCATATCTGATTTAGTGCCATTTATTAAAGAGACCTGGTCGGATTTGTGAAAAATTAGATTTGTCACGTTCAAATATTTGGTAAATGAATAAACAGATTTGGGTCACAATTGCCTAAAGTGAGAACGTAGCCTTAGACAAACACAAACATAAAAGCTTCGACATTTACCAGCTAAGACTTTGTATCGCTGACATTAGTGAACTTAAATCATGCTTTGTTCTCTATATTTGTTTGTTAT